TATGTATAGATGTACTTCTCGTACATCTGTTTTGATACAAACTGTTTTGATACGTCCAATCTCCCAGTAGAAGGTCACAAGGACAATCGCAGCATAAGCATACCAAATGATGCCAAAAAATTGGCGAACTTTCTCCGTTTCAACAAAAGCTGGTACCGCAACTATTCCAGTGGCCATATTTGCTAAGCTCAACGTAAGAAATAGTTCTAACGTAAAGAAAAGGTTCTATCATTTTTTCACGCGTCATATATTTTATCAAAGTGGCCGTATACATTCGGGGGGGCCTCGTAAAAAGTTGTGTGTGTTATCCACTAAATTCCATCTCGTCTTTTTGACAAGGATAACGCTTATAATGTAAGTTAGCATTGAAAATGGTTATCAACAGAAGTTTTTTCAATTAAAAGAAATTATAATTTCATCGGATTTCTTGAACTGAAGTACAAAAAAGCCAAAAAAACAGAACAAAATAACTCACTAGCCATTTTATATTATCCCCGACTAGTCCTGAGAAATGTTTCGTCGACGCAGGTCACTGAAACGAAAAGAGCGTTCTTAAAAAGTGACAGAAGGTTGCTATGGTAAATACTATATTATTATATTAAACTAAGAAAATAGAGTGCGAGAGAGAGACTGTACGACCTGATTAGCCTGCGCTGGTTAACTAAAGCTTCTAGACTATCTTTCCTTCTTTGAATTAGGACCTACCGCATATGGATCATACGTCCTTTTTTATTTCTAGTCTTTTTGTTTTGAATTCCTTTTTTTTGAACCTGCAACCCACATGCAGCTAGATAAGTTCGTAACGTAAGGGATCTTATGTCTTTTCCTGCACTGTTCATGAACAGTTGGTCGATGGTGTTAAGTTCGTGAATTTAAACTAACTCAACAGATTTCGCTTTTGTAGTTTTGTTTTTGATTGCCATAAATATCAATTTCTTGATAGTCAATGATCAAGCATCATTCCGAGGGAGCTGGTACTTGTGACTCTAAAAATAGGCTTATAACAAACTACGAAGCAAGTCTTTCAAAATAAAGTGAAAGTTATGTGTCGGCCTCCGATGCAAGAGGGAAGATTTATTGGTATTATAGATTCGTTTTCTTTAAGCGATCCCCCGGCCTGGGGGCACTTTACAACATCGGTCTCTGGAATGCCTTGAACACTTGTTACCACGTTAGTTTCTTTGCTTGCTCAGTCACGCATTAAGTCATTCAGCCAGTTTGATTTGAATTAAGTGCGAAGTTAGATAGGTTTAGGCATAAGTAAGTTCATACGGCAGAAATCGTAAAAAACGCTATGAAGGGTCCGTTGACATGGAACTGAGCATTGGGGTTATATGAGGTCTTGGAAAGATAAAATGCACCCAAATATTGAATCAATAAAGAATATTTATGTATAGACACGCATTCATTTGAGGGCCCATTAAATTGAATCTATGAAACATAGTAATTCATGGTTTACATGACTATCTTAAATACATACAGGTGAGCGAGTAATTAGTATGTTCATTTTAAGAAAAGTATCTCAACTCAGTCAGAGTGAGTTGAAACACCATAAGGGGTCATTGATTTCAATTGCAAATGAAGACAAAAGATCAATTTCGCCATACCTTTCTTTAATCTCTATTTACCGATAGCATATAATAGTCATGGATGGGAATAAAAAAATTATGCTAAGTCTGTTGTTTATCGAACTCACTATATAAACAATGTAATATATCCATGTAATGGAGGTCAACACTTCGTCGTTTGGGTGACGTACGCAGTAGCTGTTTAGCTAGGCAGTCACTCGGTTCCGTCTCGTGCTCAAAAACGCAAATCATGGATGGCCAGAATATCTTTTATTTGAAAACCACTCTCTTTGCTCGTCTTCAAGCACATTCCACCGAGTCACCGGTGGGTACCTTTTTCCCTTACCTTAGTCTACCTATTGAGTAATGGGTGGCAGAGAGCTCACAACGACAGCTTAAATGCATAAGTTAACCATAACCAGAAGATGAAACGTAACGATATCTGTAATCATTTCGTCTTCGTTTGGATTGTCCTTTGTAGAGGCTTGCGACCATGTAGACCCTATGACCCAAAAGAGGCGTAGGGTACGGCCAAATCATGTTCATTTCCATTGACGTTAATGGTGCTTGTAAAATCTTTGAACATTCGTTACTGCCAGTTTCACCGGCTGTGTGCGCGCGTTTTACAGCTGCAGAAGACACGAACTCTTCGTCACGAAATATTGTCAGGATTGAATGGCCGGATGCCATATCTTCTAAATCCACCGATCACTTTGGTCTGAGCGAATGCCATGGGCTCCGTTAGTGGGCTGTTGGAGATTAGCACCTCTACTTCGAGGTAGGTTGACATCCAATTAGTCAATGCCATGTTGGTCCTTCTGCTAAAGAGTGAGAAAACATACATGTTCAACGATCGGGGCGTGTTGTTGCAGTGCGGTAGTCAAAAGCGTTATCCTACGTTCATTCATGAAACGAATCCTCCCAGTGCTCACCTGAGATTTGAACTGGTTACTTTAAATCAAGAGGACTTATTTTTTTAGACGGCATTTAAGTATTTCAAAAAGTGTTGTAGAGTTTGCACAAAGCCTTAACCGATCAACTAACAATTAAGGTGTGAAGTACCGCTTGATCCGTCCAAGGCAAAAAAGCATCATTATATTTTGTCGGAGGGAATACAAAGGACTAGTGCATTGTGTTGCTAATCGTACTGCTAATAAAGCGGATGCTTACAAACCTACTTCTGTCAGTAAAAGTTGTTTGCGGCACTTGACGAGGATCTTTGGTCGCCACAACTTTCCAGCTAGCATATTTGTATATATAATTATAAATACTTGCGAAAACGTGATTTACAGGACTTTATCAACACTGCGTTTGTTGAAGCGAGTTTCACAGGGAAAGTTTGTAGCCCTCTGCATTGTCGTGCCCAGTTTTTGATTAATTTTAAGGAACCAACGAATCCATTCATTTCTGGTCGAGCTGTTTTATGGTACCTTTTTGCCCACATGGCATATATATGAACACGCGAGCCGTATCATTAAGCCGTAATTTAACGCTATACATGATTAAATACTCTACTAGAAATTTTCCTCTGCTAGCAAGAATACCGTTGTCTCTATCTACGAAATGCCGCTCCTTTTCTGTTCTTTCTGGTCGTTAGTATACAGGTTCAAAGTGGTTCTATCAATTCACACACACATCTTCGAGCGCTTGCCGCAGGAATTCCACACTTACCCCTTGCCTTGTGCCATTTGCTTGCTTATCATCCGATCTTTAGGCCCAAAAACGCCAAAAATTACAATAACTAAACGGGAGAAAAGTAACAAGAGAAAATTGTGCATATTTATTTTATTTTTTAAAAACTTATATCATTCAGATTAAACTATCGATATTTTATGTGACTAGAATCGTATGCAATTTACTTAAGCGTGCCATACGTACCTTTTTCACGGGACGGGGCGTTGCAAGTTGAGCAGCTACGTACCGAATGCCACTTACAGCGAATCTATACTACAGCGAAACTTCAAGTTAACGCGCTACTTGGGCCGTTAAAGAAGGCTTTCTCCCAATGTTAGATTTTTAACAATCATAATGTTAGGATCAGTCTGTATTGATCTACCTACTTTCGTGGATGAAGGCTTCTCCATTTCCGGCACAAGCGAGTTGTTTTAGTCTAAATTGGCACTTTGATTTATTTACAAGGAAATGCTAAAGGAAAGCTCAATAAGGTTCAACGTTGGTTATGACGACACTTTTGGGCTTGCTGTTCTACGAAGAGATTAACAAAGGACGAACAATAAGGGTAGGACTGGGACCCTAACCGCACTATGACATGCTAGCGCCAGGTTTCAAGCGTCAGCTTTACATCATTCGTATGTAATGAAACAGAGTACAGGGCCAAACCTTGCCGCTGACAAAAAGATGACTCCGTCTCGTATTTCTCAGTGTTGATTCATCACTGATTTAACTACCGAAACTACAATGCGATAATGACGATGATTATGACAACACGAGGCGTGCTGCAACGTCTAGCCCAACTAGTAAATCATGGACAACTTACCCTCACATTAATGTTTAGATATACTTTAATTTAAAAAATAAAACATAAGACAAATCAGGATCTACATACCACTAAAACTAGAAGAACACGTAATTCACTTCAACTCGATCATGCTATAGAGCTTCTGGCAAGCACCTTATAGCCTAACGGGCATCCGCCGAGTATCAAGTCTGAAATAATATTTGCAGTGTTTGTCTTTCAGCCTTCATTTCCATATATATATATATATATATATATATATAGCAATGAAGATATTATCCTCATATTGACGGAAATTAATCCGAGTTCTCATTGTCAACGCTCTGCGTCTGAGAGGAAAGCAGACAATAAACGTTTCATATGCCTCAAAGTGGTGATTTCGACCGCATTTTTTTTGTTTCTCTAACTTCAGCCCTGTTGAAGTAATTCGGTCACAACAAATAGCGATAATTACTCTGGCCGTTTTTATTTTGAGGATATGACATAGTCACATATGTGTGAGTGCATGAGTATCTATCCAGTCTTTTTATCCTAGACCTGCTTCGTCAGCAATATTGCAGCAAGCGTTGGAAGCGATTTAGAACTGACATTGGTAACTTGCGGGGGGTTGCCAGCCATCGCTGTTACTGTTGCTGCTGAGCAGCTTCTCGCAGTTGGCAATCCTCATTGTCTGCCTGTCACATCTCTCGGATGAGAACTGGTGGTCCTGATGCGTCTGGAATATGGATGACCGACAACTCGGCACAGAGCCAGCAGACTTCGCGCGTCTTGCGCAAGACCCGTCCCCGCCCAATGGAAACGTATGAAGAAGGAAGTCGAAAACTAGGGGCTAAATGGGGTCGAGATAAGATATAATCTCATAGAACTAGCACCCCTTGCCTCAGCTGGAGGTTTACCAGTAGTAGCAGCAGCAGCAGCAGCGGCGGCGGCGGCGGCGGCTGCGGCTGCGGCGGCAACTGCGCTACAATAAAAATACGTAGTATTCCGCGTACTTTGACGGTGATGCTGCTTTATCGCTGCTCTTGCTGTCATTGCTGTTATTGTTGTCGCCGTAATAGGCGCAGCCAGCTGTCTGGAACAGAATAAACCAGCATATCCACCAGCCGGCGGTGCTCATCGCTTGGGTAGCTCGGTTCCTGATTGCTTTGTCGCCAGCTGTTTTCCGAGTCGCTGTTAGACACATAGACGTCATGGATGGCATTTTAGTCGGCACTGCGTGCAGTACCTCGCCGACTGTGTATCGTGCTGTGTGACACCGACTGAGCCTGACGAACTCCCATCATGGTTACGCTGGGGCGTTCCTGTTCCCGTTCGGGGGTTTGGGAACTGTTGAAAAGCGCGTCCTATGGCGTTCCTCTGGTCTTTGCTAGTCAAAAGTGTCATGTTGGGTCCTCGCGGCATCGTCGCGCGCTTTTGCTAACCCTTTGGGGGCAGAAACAGCGGCGGTGGCAGGCCGCCGCGGTGGTGGTCGTCGTGGTAACGCAGAACGTAGCCATCGAAAAACCTGCTGTTACCTCGGTAGGCCAGCAGCGCATGCGCAGCTCCTCCTACGCAAGCAGCGCAACCCCCTCGCCTTGCTGTCCAACAGAGTTGCACGATTGGCACAGTAGGTTTCCTCCCTATATAACGCAAGCACACGCTGGCGCCGTGCGAAATCTGCGAGCCCACAGACGGATCCATCGGCGCCAATACGAACTTACAGTGACGTGCAGGAAGACGGAGGAGCATCTGGGTAGAGGGAAGTTTGGCAGAGTCGAGGTGTCGAAGAAGCACAGGCGCGAAAACAGGAAGAGTAGCTCGTATGAGAACAACAAATAGCAGTATCAAGAGAAAGTGGAACATTTAACGTCCACGTGAGTTTCGATTTGATCGAATTCAATCGACAACGTAGTGAAACTATTGGACAACTACAGCGAATAACAACAGCCAATTAATTCGATAACAGTAAGTAGCAACGATAGGTAGGTGTATCAAAAAGCTATAATGCGTAAACAAAAAAAGTCGTAAGCCTGCTAGTTACACTACCACCGTCTGCATGCTGCGTTGAAGTTTACCCTATGAATGCTTCTGTGAAAAATACTTAACTACATAGTAAACTGGGCAGACAGTCCATTTTCAGACATTGCGAATCAGTATTTTGGTCGGGCGTTTCTAAAGGAGAGCTGCAGACAGTGTCGTGCATTTTTCTTTCATTAGCAAGCTACACAGCTCTAAGACTTAGCTTTACAGCCACTTATACGTGCTCTTAACGCCAGTATTCGTGCTTATCTAAGGGGTTATGGATGATTAACAGCCATGGTGATGTTGACACGCTTCTTCTATGATTTATTATTATTTATTATATTTAGGCGACCAATTCTCTAGTAAAGTATATTATTCGATTTTCTGTTATACACCGACATCGTAAATCACAGATCCGCTGTCGCTACACCGCCCTGTCTTACGCCTACATAAAAAAAGCCAAAGTTAGTGTCCTCAAGCAGGCCAAAGATGCTTTATGCACCAACATGATTGGGTAGAGAAAAGATTTCACAAACGTCTATGCATATATATACACGTGTCTAAATAAGAAGAAGGACAACGCCATCTTAGGCCATTAATATCAATTTTGCCCAAGTATGAGGCATCTAATTAGCTTATCAAACTCGCAACGGAGCCCATTTGAAAATCCCTATGCCTTACCGGTATACCATTATTAATGCGTGCATTTATGTTGTAGGTTTAATTTTAATATGTGTGCTATATTTGAACTTCTACAAGAATCCGACATTTTTAGGACGATTCCACAAAGTGCAATTTGCCCCTAGACCTCATGCTATCTGTCGGCAGCTATAAAGAAGATCAAAATAAACTAAAGCAGCTAAAATATTGTATAACTGATTGAATTATTAACTATGGAGGAAAATCCTATATTGTCACTTTTATTAGCTTGTTTCGTATTATGAATGTCTACATATAAAGACGCCTATTTTCCATATCTACCTAGTGCCGGCTTGCACGATGGCTCTACGTAGAATACTGAGTGTCGTTAAGGTTTACGTTTCGCTTAAAACGGCCATACATACTCTGTTTAAACATGTTTGATCAGATATATCTTTCAAAGTATGCACTATTTGGCCAATGTTTATAGTCAAAGAGAAAAGGGACACTTAGAGTACAATCTCGACAATAGAGCTATCGGAAAAAAAGGAGCCTGAGACGGTTCTGGTGATGCACATAAAGCCTCTCCTATGAGATTATTTACATCATCGTACTAGAGTAAGATTTTTCATCATCTAATCATACGTTTCGTGGCAAACATGCGACAATTTAAGTATAAATCGTTGTCGATCGATCGGTGTTGATCTCTGAATACTGAAATTCTCGGACGTGATGTTCGGGACCGTTGCTACACTTTGCGTATTTCAAATCACTCGCAAGATCGTCGATAGATGCGTTCATAATTAGCGGGCGATTCATATGCCCGATTGGGCGATTTCATGCGCTAAGAAATAATGTTCTAGTTTGCTACGGTCACTATGGCCATGTTTAATTAGATTCTCCAATGCGTAATAAATTCATAATGAAAATGGCCCGCTTCTGTTAGACAGTAACTAGACTAGAGAAGCTGTACGTGTATTTGTAGTTTATCAACGGTAGTCGACAGAAACAGTTAATATGGTGAATGCGGTTGGACGAGACGAAGCCCTCTCACGAAAGCCGGGGTTTCTTTGCGCAATGATCAGGGAAACAGGCCGATGCTGCTTCAAAGTTGAGCTGGGATATTTGAATAGAATTTCGTTCAAGTGAATCATGTAGCTTTTAGGTATTAGGGCCGAGACAAAATTAGCTAATATTAGGATTAAACATAGTTGCGAGAGCTGTCGTTACGGTACGCTCTAGCATGCGTGAACGAAAACATTTAGAGCACGGCTA